TAAACGACTCAGGTGTAGATTGACTACAAGTGCTACCAAGTGCAGCGGGGCTGCCGTACCTTAGCGCTTGAGGAAGCGTAATTTAGGACACCAACCTTTCGTTCTTTACAAGAACCAATACGAGTGTTGCGGATCGCTATCCGCTAACTCCAAGAGTAGTTACTACCTTAACCAAGGCTAATAAACTCTAAATATAAAACTGATACTTATTTATTTCTATCTGCGGCTAAACCGCACGTCTCGTGTGACACACACACCTGTTACCAGGGAATGTGTAACCCCATTACATTTAGGACTACGCTCATATTAAATGTTTTCGTTTAACCGTATCGCGTGATGTTACTATCAGTATGACTTATATCCCGATTTATGACTATTTACAATTACACCATTTTGCGAACATGAATTGTACAGTGTTGTTATCTATATAATCGTAGCAAATGGTAAGGTGTAAGCACATACGATTCACCTACTAACTTCGTTACACACGCCGTCTTCTTCATCTGGGATTTGTTTTGGTAGGAAAAAAATAGTCCAAAATTGAGCTGTCGAGATATCTGGAGTGTTGTAGTCTTTTAGTGTGATAGGTTGCTACACAGCATTTTAAGCAAAACGCCCAGGCAATCGGGTTTTCTCACCTCGTAAGAAATTAACACTTGCTGTATCATTCATACACTTCAGATGCACATGGCAGCAATACCTATAACCCTCAAGGTTTTATCGTAAAAATGTCTGGTAGCAGCAGTTTGTTGTCTCTTCGATAAATGTTCATGCTAGCGACCTCTACGTACCTGTTGTCATGCGCAACGCAAGATAGCAATATTATGGCCATCCATTCGATAAATTTGTGGCTCTTAAAAATCTTCATTCAATACCTTGAAGATCAATGCGCGAAAAAGAACTCTGAGTGTGAGTCGAATACAATCGAGCGCATGTGCTGTGATGGAAATATCAATATCGCTCCTCTGTCGTCAAGGAATAAAAAAGAGACGTTAAATCATGGGCTTGGCAAAGTGCCTAACAACGTCTTTGTCGTGTACTTTGTTACGATGTTACAATATAGTTGTTTAGCATGATGCTGAAAAGTCTCCAGCCATTTCATAATCACATTTGCCTCGCGTTAGTCAAGTCGTTGTCGACCGTTCATTTTCAAGCGTATGGCGTTCTCTTCAATTCGTGGCGTCAGCCGCACTGTTGTCGCTCTCTGTTCTCTCATTGTCGCTTATCAAAGCGATCTTGTCACCTCTGATGCACCGAAATCCCAAGTTCTGACGTGCCTCGAAAAGGCTGCTATTCAAATGTCAACACCTTTGGCTGAAACTTGGTCCGTGGACACCGAAGCCTGGAACTCGCGTGTGAGTCCCGTACCTGCGGTTGTCGTCTTTCCAAAGACGGAGGAGCAAGTTTCAGCTGCTCTAAAGTGTGCTGCTGCTGCTGATGTCAAAGTGACAACGCTTGGTGGCAACCGATCATTCTCGAGTTTGGGCTTTGGTCGTAACAATAATGCTCTTATCATGAATTTAAAGTATCTCAAGCACCTTATCTACGACGAAAAGACGCAATTGTTGTCATATGGAGGTCCCGTTACGATCGCAGATGCCGTAAAGTACATGTGGACCAAATGCGAGCGTACTGTCAACCACGGTCGTTGTCCAAATGTCGGTATGGCCGGTGTGGCTGCTTCGGGTTTTGGTACACTCTCTCGAGCGGGTGGTACCGTTTTAGACAGCATCGTGTCAGTGCGTGCAGCTCTTGCGAACGGTACGATTGTCAACGCCGACGCAAAAACAAACTCAGATTTATTTTGGGGATGTCGTGGTGCTGCTAGCTCTCTGGCTGTAATCTTAGACTTTAAGATCAAGACATTCAAGCCTCCATCGATGCTTGTGACAAACTACACGATTGCTTTTGATTCGAAGTACAAACCGACAGAGCAAGACAATGTGGATGCTTTGATTGGGACGCAAACCTGGGCTTTAAGCAAGGACAACAACGATTACTTGTCCATTCGTTTCAGCCTCAAGACCAAGTCAGATCTCAAGGGATTTTTCTATGGTCCTAGTGACAAGGCTGCACAGGTTCTTGGATCACTTATGAAGTACCTTCCATCTTCAATGGTACTTAAGACCACTGAAAACGATTTTTGGACGTCCGAAGAAATTAGCACACCTGGACTTGTCACTCAGAAGCCGGATGATCGCCGTTATTTCTACATCGTTTCCGTGACCATCCCTCGTAAAACCCCATTGACCAATGCCACGGCTTGGGAGCTTTTCACCAACACTGCATTTCTACCTAAGGATCCAATAGCTTCGACTTCGGGTTTCATTGACATCTGGGCCGGCTTATACACTAAGTCTGTTAAGCCTGATGACTCGGCTTGGAAACACGATGACAATCTTCTCCTAATTCGCTGGGATATGCGTACAGAGTCTTTTGATGTGCCTTTTCCCGAAAGCTCAATCACTACTATGCGTAACAACTTTTACAAATTCGTGAATGCTTATAAGGCCTCGGGTGGTGAACCTGGTGGCTTCCCTACGTACCGTGATGATCGGTTGACGGTGGCCGAGATGGCCAAATTCCTGTATGGCGGTGGCAACTTTAAAAAGCTGCAACAGATCAAGACCAAGTATGACCCGACAGAGTTGTTCAATACCGACCCTCAGTCCATTCCTGCCCTAAAAGCTTAAGATCGGATAGATCACACAATGTGTTGACTTTTTTTACCATAAAATGTGAATGTAGTTTGGAGTTGATAACTTTGTCTTTTCATTACATAAAGAAGCATAGTAGTGTGACCAATAGTATTTGCGGGCGCCGATTAACGGAACTTGACAAACTTCACAACAATCAAACCAATGAATTCGGAACCTTGGGCATAGACTAAATGTAGCATACATCTGGAAGAAGTTACTTTCACATAAACAATTTTGTGGTGAAAGGGGCACAAACTCACGGTAGTAATTTCGTCAATTTGTGAACTATCGGACAATAAAAGTTCCTCTTTTGTGAATAGATATAGTAAAATGATCGCCAGTGTTTACAACACGTAAAATACCGACTGGTATTTAAGTAAACGGATTGCAGCGAGGAAAGGGCGACAAGGCTCCAAAAGCATATTGACAAGCTTCTTTACTTCATCTTGCCTGATCTGTACAATGGCACAGAAGCCCTAAATATTCTAAAAGCCTTACATTGAACCTAAAAATTACATACGGTCTTGAGTAGAGACTCGACGTTTTAAGTCGGTCTTAAATTTATTATATTTCAGGCACAGGTTCTTTTGTTCCCAGTCAAAATTTATGAACTGAATTTAGAACCAGCTCGTCAAGGGTTCACCTCCTTGCGCTCACCACCGTGCCATTATTGCTTAACTTTTTCAGACCTTGATGTCATGGCATAGCTACACCAGCATTATTGTCTTTCGAAGAAATATTTCAATTGAATCTTTCCTGTCCAAGCTTACTTCTTGAAATTATACCAATTTGTTCAGATAACTGGTCTTGAAATGCCTGGAAGCTTTTTATATCGTCGGCCGGTAGGTACAAGGTCAGTCTGCCAGGTACAATGCTCATAGAATTACCGCGCTGACCATGTAATCAGTTACTTCGAGTCAACAAAACAATCGAGCATCGTTCTATCACAGATGCCAGAGAGTAAAAGGTTTTTACCTGGCTCGGTCACAGAATTACGCATCGATGCTAAGCCAGTGGTCAAAGACGACGGTCAATTATGACGTCTTGCATAACCATTCAGAGGAGGCTCTCGGCCGCAGCCTTAAAGCGCTTATAATTGAGTTTAGCTTTTAATATCCCGACTCAGTTACTCGAAAGTCGAAGCTCCCAGAGCACTTCAAACGAAAACGAACACCACTTCGGATTTATCAGCCAAACAATCGTATACGCAAATACCATACCGAGTTTTCTAGTATATGCCAAACTGTTACCAACACAGACATAATCAACTTCTCAGTAGCCGTACCGTCCCTTATTCCCATTGTCTACACGCAAATGAATCTTTAGAAAGTTCAAATACCAACAATATGATCTAAATCATTACGTACTCCCATTCATTCTCGTCATCTTCAACCGCATAGATCCGTTTCTCCGGTCCCTGTTTCAAACGCTGACTCCACGTTGGTGCCGTTTCGTGCGTATATCCATAATCAAAGAACAATTCGGCCCCAACTTCAATGGCTTCATTTGCAAATAATCCAATGCGATGTTCTCCATTCGACGCAATGATCCGAACATCCAAATTCGCAACGTTTTTCGCCTTATGATTGGCAAATTTCGCCTTATTCCCTTTTCGCGCCGCATCCACAACATATTCGCTATTAACGCCGAAGAGATAACTGATGGATTTTCGATCGTAAATCGCACCGCGACGTTCCGCTTCTTCATCCGTAATAAGTTCTCCGGTATATTCCAAGACAAATTCATCTTTTTGAATGGGCTCTAAGGCATAAGCACCCCATCCATGAGTCGCTGAAAACGCAACCCCGACATTTTTATGAATACCTCCTCGCAACATATTCACGTTTTGACAAAGTAAAAGATTTTCGTGACCATTTCGCTGATTGAATTCCGAGCAAAAAGCTGTAACGGCAACATCACTGGCTCCACAAGTAAAGCAATAATCCGGATCACATTCGCGTCCAGCACTCCAACACGGACAAGTAGATGTTTGACATTTACTTACAGAACACTTACATCCTTGAAAGCGATTTGGACAATCTCGACCACATGAACAGGCACGATTGCACGCATGGCCTCTTTTCGTACAGCCACACGATTCACCACACTCACCGTCGTGATCGCATGGTTTGTAGCTTAGTTTCGTTTCTCGATCGAGCGTCTTTTTAGCAAGAAAGCGATTAGAGGCAGTGCCTAGGCTCTGTCGTCGTCTCTTCCGTTGTCGGGGGAAGCCTTCTTCTAGATTGGAAAAATCGCCACTATCTCGTCGTCTCTTTTCTTGCACTAAAAATGTTTCAATCTGTGCACACGTGCAGCTTGGGGTCCTTAAAACTGCAGCAATTATGCAAGCGTTGAATCCAAGTGCAGTTGCAAGCTTACGAACTAGAACAGCATCAACTTGACTCCACGAATCGGATTGCTTTAAACTTTTCCCTTCACTGAATAGAATACAGCACGAAGAGCTGCATGGAACAGTCCTCGAAAGCAGCATTCTCATCGTACTAGTGATTGTAGGAAGGTATGAATTATCCAAATACTCCGATTTATCTGCCAATCGCGCAAACTTTTCACGTCGCTTTCGACACTTTTTCAGCTCAGCAAGTCGCTCAGATTCCAATAGTCTCTCTTGCGTTACCAATCTATTTGTTGCTAATGAGCTGATTCGGGTATGCGTGCGTCTGGAACGTCGGTATTTGGGATTTTTGGTAGCAGGTTGCGATTCAGAGGCTTTGACTTCATCTTCGGACGATGACGTGCTAACTTCAATTGGATCTACATTATTTGACGATGTTGACGAGCTTGAGCAGTTCTCTAATCCATTTTCTTGGACTTTGACCTCTTGTCTTGTCAGCTGAACACTTGATACCCTCAACATTGGATAAACTGGATCCGCTCGAATACTTCGTTGTGGATTCTGGATTCCATGCTCGGAACAATCATAGGTGAAGCAACGTCGACAAAAAAGATCTCGATACCATTCTGCTACTCCTTCATACGTCTTACGATCTCGCAAACCTAAAGCGTGTAGAGCATGAGCGTAATTGGATTCGAATACTGACAATGGAGGTTGCAATCGGATCGATAAGTACGGCGTTTTAGTTTTTTTTTTAAAAACCCAGCATAGTTGAGATAGTCTGCTTAAAGCTTGACATGCCTGGATTAGAATATCGCTCGTTCTGGATTTTACAGCACACAATTCTCTCACTTTCGCGAGCCGACTTGCAGTTTGCTGTTCCTTTACATAAATATCTTTGATCTCGTGATAATCAATCTGAGGTCGAGCAAATTTAGCTTCGAGTTGAAGTGCCAGAAACACTTGATCGGACATCCCGCAGATTCCTACAACTATCCGCAATAGCATTTCTTGCATCTCATTATCACGCGCACTTGAATTCAGAATTTTTAACTCATCTCCGCTCCCAAATACTGCGACGCGACGCTCTTTTCTCATCGTTGTCGAGGTATACAAATCATTATCAATGACCATCTGCTCATTTTCGCCTAAATAGGGCACATATCTCAAAACAGGATCGTCTTCAACAAACACGTTTTTTCGAATACCAATCATGGTAAAAGACCGACGAATACCCGAGATTTCATTTGATAGCTGTGTGACAGTTTCTGGGTACACCACAGATTCAATCGGCGATCCATTTTGATGCACAAAATACCGTACATCTCCGACTAAACAGTTGTATGGATCGACAGTATGTGTGGGATCTAACTTATCTCGCTTTGCCATTCTTTGTTCAATTGGAAAACTGCCCGACCACGAATGTCGGTCTAGTTTGTATATCGCATTCACAACGTGGTAACACATGTTAGATGCACCTTAAACCGAGATTATCATAAAAAACGATTACGTACCTGCGATCTTCGACCACTGGGGACGCCTATACTGCTCACTTCGTAAGCCTTTATATACTCGAAAATAAGTTGAAAGCTGCTTTCGCGTTTCCTTTACAACATGACGCACACGACGTGCATGACACTTTTCGATCTGCGGAAGCTCACGCGCTATCAATGTTCGCACTCGTTTGTTAACTTGAAACTGACTTAGAGACTAAAATTAATCACAAAGAGTATCAAATATACTTGCACCATGTGTCAAAAAAATATTTCCAGATTCGCACCTGCATCTCGACTTTAAGATCGATCCTCTGCTCATTTCTATCGATTAATATGCACTTCTTCTTCATGTCGCCAGATTTATCGTAATCCCAAAGAGGTCGATCGAGTTCTACAAAGCATCTCATAATCATGTTGATATAACAACAGCAATTACTAAAAATGGCATCACAACTATTACTGCAACTCACGTTGCACATACCGCTGGAGTATAGAGTTATTGAGACTTCTATAAGATTGGGTGGTGCTTCTTCGAACACAAGGTGTCGCCACGCTGTTGAATGAATTACTGGATATTCCGTCTTCTTCAACGGCGTTGCTGTACAGTCAGCAGAGACAAAGGTTGCATTGGATGCCGAAACTCCGTTTCGAGAAGGTGGTGAGATAAACGATAACGAAGGGGGAGGCTCGGACCTCTTCGTGGTCTCACTCACACCTCGATAGTTGCCATTTGTATTGTCAATAATATTGGTTTTAGCTTTACCTGGCGTAATTACATCATTGGTCTTGACGACATCGTCGACGCCATTGGTATTTGTCACGGCCTTGGAGGATCGTGTAGCCGAATTCCGTCTTTTCTGGGCGCGAAAGAACGCCAACAATTTCTCTTGCTCCTGTAATTCCGTAAAGGAGAGCTTTTCTTTAATTTGATGTGTTTCGATCGTATCATGAAGCCGCGAGGTAGTCGGTGCATCGTGTGCGCTCGTAGCTATCACTTTTTTTTCGCGCGGACGTTTTCTTAAAAGCGCTACTTTAGACCGCTTGAACTGATCATAATTTCGATTCTCCTTCTTCTGATCATGTACTTGAGGCATCTCAATTCCATCACTTTCCTCCTCTTCGCTACTCATTTCATTCTGCTCACTCTCCACTTCACTCTCCACTTCACTCTCCGCTTCACTCTCTTCTTCACTCTCCGCTTCACTCTCTTCTTCACTTTCCACTCTACTTAAGCCACTCTTGTATTTTTTGATGTTCCCCGTTTTACAATTTTCAGACTTCCATTTCACCTTATTCTTTCGCTTTAATGTCCTTCGTCTTCGATCGCGTGTGATTTGTGTCAACTCTTGATGATTGTTTAAAAACGATGTCTTGCATATTACATCTCGACTGTTTTGCACAATGTTTTTCTCCTTTTGTCTATAAATTGCCTCTCTCTGCGCTGCCTTCTTAACAAACGTCTGCCATTCATCATCACTTTCATTTTCCATCACTGGAGGCACTGGAATCTGTGCTTGTGGTGCCACTTTACGTGCTTTATGCTTGCGAAAGTGATTCATTGCCTGCTTTTGAGCCTCGTTTTCTCGTTCATCCTCATTTCTGTCCTCTCTCTTTCTTACATTGGGACCTTTTCGCCGATTCTGGGCCTGGATTCTCTCAAGCAATAGCTGTTGCGCTTGCAACTCGTGATAACTCATTCCTTCTGTGATCTCACGCATTCCACAGTCATGTCTCGATCGATCCATTGGTGCCACTTCAGTCTGCTGGACAGCCGAATCACATTTCGATCGCTGAGATTGCATTGTTCTCGTCATTGATACTTTGCTCTCATTGTTACCTCGACACCTTTCATTTATGTCACTACTCTCATTGCTGTCGCTCTCGCTGGAGATTGCGCGTATCTTGACGGGTCGACGGGTCACGGGCTTTAGTTGCATCTCATCATCACCATTGGAGAAACTTTCATCGTCACTGAGCAGCTCAATCACATCCTGGGAGCCTGTTAAATTTTGTTAGCGCAAGACTGCAGGAGAGATATTTAGAGACGCGTACCACTCATAATTATCCGAGACTAAAATATATTAAATGCTGCATTTGAGAAAAGGTTGAAAGCGACATACAAATTATAACTTTTGTAAAGCTGTGTCTCAAAAATTAAATATTTGTCACTGCGACGTCAATATCGATGGTAGAGATGGAAAGTCAGACAGTCTTTTACAGCATCAAAAGTCTACTACTGCTTTGCATGTACGCAGCGTAACACGTGTCAAGAAAGCCAATTGATTGTATCGAGTCTAACCTAGTGAAAGCTGTTTGCTTGTCCACGTGACAGATACAAATACTGGTGATCAAAATTGCAACTCCAATAGATGATAAGCACTGAGCTGTTTAATTGTGACCAACAGAAAGCTGCGAGACACATTAGCAATGCAACTCATTTCACATACAAATTCTCAACCAAAGTAGCACAACAGCAGCAGAGGACGGTGTCTCACATCATGCAAGCTTTCATAGCCACTTTTGACGACCAAGGGGTTGAACGCCTAGTAAAATTTGCTGGAATCCTTCCTATGATGACGATCCCAGCGCCATTTTCACCGTTTGGTGGGGCAAAGTGCCAAAAAAATGCCAAGAAACCTTTCTTCGAAGAACCTTTGGTTTGTAGAGTCTACGTTGACAAAGATGAAAACTGAATCTACGACGTGAACCCAGGTATTAACTACTTTACATAGCTTAAGGTATAGAGCAAGAAAAAATTGACTTGTTGCAACTAGCTACAGCATAAAACCTCATGTATACGTTTATCATTTGTAATTCTTACTGGATTGCGTAAGGTTAGCAGCCCCCAATCTTACTGACCTCCTATTGTTTAGGTGTTATGATACTTGTTTCAGATCACAGCACTTCAGAATTTGATCACTAGTACCTAAGAGGTCATTCCATGTCCGGATGACATTAGTTTAAAGTGTACGTACACCTTGACATGGTACAATCTATTGTAAAGCTAAAGCAAAATGGCTCATCCCGCTGCGCCCAGCGACACTGAACCGAAGAAGATATCGCCACAATCAGCAACAGCTACAGTAACTATGGAAGGTTTTGAGCAGATACAGTTTGTTCCAAGAATGATGGTTTGCATATAGAGCAACGCCAAATATCGCACATCGTGCGGAGCGCGAATCCCTATTCGCAAGAAATGTTTACGATGCGGAAAGTTAGGGTGCTGTGGTCACGACAGAGCGGTGGATCTCGGTTATGCTTATTGGCCTCTCATAAATTGAGCAGCACCATAATTTTGAGGGGTATAAAAATTGAGCTCCTCGTATATACAGTGAAAGACTCCTTGCGGATGCTGTTCATTTCTAGTTTACGCAGAGCAGCATGTGGTAATAATTTGTGTTCTATTACACTCTTCCGCTCAAAATTGAAACTGTGTTTATCTGTTTTATTTGCGGCAGAGCCGCCTATATCTAATACCTTAAAAAAAATTAATATGCATAACTACTGGCAGTCCCGCAGCGTTAGTCTTACTGCGGTGTGGCCACATCATGGTGTGATTACACCGACTTGTGCACGCCACACTTTTGTACGGCCACACTATCTTGTGTGACTTAACCCTGAATACTAGGGTACATGTAACTTCGCTACAGGGATGCTGTGACGGGGCACACGGCACCTTGCACAGAGGAAGCTTGACTTCCAAGAGTATACAT